CCCTCCCGTCCCCTATAACCTCCTACCCCATTCTCCCCTCATCGTCCATATCCCCCTTCCTCCTCTTTCCCCCCACCCCCCCCCTTCCTCCCTTCTTATAAACAATTACTCGCCCCCCCCCTCCCCCGCCCACCTTCCTCTTGCCCTTTCCGTGACCCACGTAGACAAAGGTCAGATAGAGCGGTCATACTATGCGTTAGGCTTCCCTACCTGCCTTTGTGAGAATGTGGAAGACGAGTCCCTGAGGCCCTTCTGCTTGAAAGGGGCAAAGAGATCTCGCTATCGTCATCACCCCACACATGCATACGTGTGTGTGGTTGAGATATAAAAGGTCAGTAATGTAGAGAGTGGCATTACATGATAAACGGTGAAGTAAAGTGTTTATATTTCTGATTTTTTTTCTAAAGTAGAGTGAAGCCTCAAAGAACAGACAACGAAGAAACTGAAAAGAGAATGTGGTGAATATGAGAGAGAGAGAGAGACTGCCGTGTCGCAGACGGTCCACAAGGAACACTTCATCTTACAAATAAGCCCCTTATTACACATTCTTTTTTAGTTAAGTGGCTCATAAGCGGTTTCAAGTCTCCCCTCCTCCCGTCCTCCTCCTTGGACTCCTAATTCCCCTCTTCTCCTCAGTAGCGCAAATGAGCCAATAATGTTCCCAGAAGCAGCCGGGCATTAGAGAACCGCGACGCCTGATAGCGCGCCGAGGCTCCCGCTGGAGGTCGGCCGCCGTCGGTCGCATCAAATGTTTTATCACTTGGATTTCTCGGTCTCATTAATTTTCTTTTACCTCTTTCTTTCTTTTTCTCTCTCTCTTACTCTTTGTAAGTCTGTCTGCCTTTGTTTCTCTCTGTCTCCCTTCTTTGCCGCTATGGCTTTGTAGATTTCAACGCCAAATGAATTGTTGGTTATAACGGCTATATCAGTTCTATGATAACCATCTACAATATTTGCCATGATGTTGAAGTAATGTTTGAGGCTTCCCTACCTGCCTTTGTGAGAATGTGGAAGACGAGTCCCTGAGGCCCTTCTGCTTGAGAGGGGCAAAGAGATCTCGCTATCGTCATCACCCCACACATGCATACGTGTGTGTGTTGAGATATAAAAGGTCAGTAATGGTAGAGAGTGGCATTACATGATAAACGGTGAAGTAAGTGTTTATATTTTCTGATTTTTTTTTTTCTAAAGTAGAGTGAAGCCTCAAAGAACAGACAACGAAGAAACTGAAAAGAGAATGTGGTGAATATGAGAGAGAGAGAGAGACTGCCGTGTCGCAGACGGTCCACAAGGAACACTTCATCTTACAAATAAGCCCCTTATTACACATTCTTTTTTAGTTAAGTGGCTCATAAGCGGTTTCAAGTCTCCCCTCCTCCCGTCCTCCTCCTTGGACTCCTAATTCCCCTCTTCTCCTCAGTAGCGCAAATGAGCCATAATCCAGAAGCAGATTAGAGAAACCGCGAGCCTGATAGCGCGCCGAGGCTCCCGCTAGGTCGCGCCGCCAATCAAATGTTTTATCACTTGGATTTCTCGGTCTCATTAATTTTCTTTTACCTCTCTCTCTCTCTCTTTGCAAGTGCCTGTCTCCTTTTCTTTCTTTTTCTCTCTCTCTTACTCTTTGTAAGTCTGTCTGCCTTTGTTTCTCTCTGTCTCCCTTCTTTGCCGCTATGGCTTTGTAGATTTCAACGCCAAATGAATTGTTGGTTATTACAGGCTATATCAGCAATTCTAGTGATAACCATCTTAATGATAAAAGTATAGACAATATTCTCAGTAATCATCATGATAACGACAAAGACGATGTGGTGATGAATATTATTATCATTATACGATGGATGTCCCGAGGTGGTTGGAACTAAACTTTCTCCAGATAAAGATGTGCCATATTCTATCTAAAGACGCTTCGCAACAACAACAACAACAAAAAGTTTTAAGTGAATTAGTATACTAATTTCACGTTAGGTCATAAAACGCTACAAAAATAATGATAATGATAATAAATCTGGGCATAACTGAGGGAATCCGTCATCTCTAAAGAAGAAAAAATCGACTAAAATTGAGACAAAAATATATTTAATCCGCCCCTTAAAAATCGTGTGCAAAAGAAAAAAACAAAACGAACAAGAGAAGAAACAAAAACGACCAAGTATCTGCGTTACCATCTCTCGCTCGTCAATATGTGATCGTTCTCCTGGAAATGCGCGGTCGATGTCTAATGTCGATCAGGCGGCAAGTGCTTCGTCACCCACTTGGAATGCCGGGAATTCAGTGGTGGTTATTCCAGAGTTCCTAGGGACACTGCCCTCCGACTTATCACGGTGGAATTTGACAATGGTAAAAATAATTTGATTCATAAACTAGAAGATCTTTCAGAACGTGTGTGGTTATAATCGGAGAGTATATTACTGCGTATAGACGAATCATGTTTTTGATTGTGTTTACTGATGTAAGTGAACCTTTCTTTCTTGGCCTAATCACCTTGATTACCCGTAACTCT